TTTTCCCTATCAATTCTATTTTTTCACCTACTTTCTAGACCCCTCCGCTGACACGTCCCCCCCCAAATATCTAATAATTTACCCCTCCAACTCTCTCCCTCCAATCTGATATTCAATCTTTCATCAAACCCAATTTTTTTTCCATTAAATTCTTATGGGGAAATATTTAATTCGGTTATCACCATTTGGTTTCACCCCACCTTTGGAGCAATTACGGCCAAAACCCGGGGGCCACTGTATGCTGCTGCTGCTGCTGCTGCTGCAGCAGCAGCGCTGCAATGCTGTATTTTTCAGGCGAATACAGCAAATTTTGCAACGTTTTTTTGTAGGGTATTTAGGGGTGTTCTATTTTCCTGGCTCATTTTATAATGGAAAAAATTTTACGAAATTGAGATGTTTTTGTTTGGTTTCAAAATGAAAAGTCCCTTGAAATTGAGCTCAAATTTACGAAATGTTCGTTTTTTTCCCAAAATTAAAAAGTAAACAAATCATGCCAAGCGCCCCAATACACGTCAACTGGTGAGTCTAATATTCTTTCATAAACGCAGTAGTTCATAACAGAATCTTTTTTTTTTTGTGAAATAAAAATTCAAAGTTTAAAAACAAAAAAATGTAAGAGGGGTTCGGGGACATGACTACGAACAGAGAAATTGTTATTTTTTGTGCTAGGGAAGTCTTCTTGTTTATTTTGGGGCCCCATTTGGAAATTGGCATCTTCGAAATTTTTTGTGAAATTGGAAAATTGCTAATTCTAACCACTTTATGGATAGTTGAAATTGGGAAATGGGTGGTTTCTTTTACTTTTCAATAGAAAAAAAAAGAATTCAGCGAAATAAATATAATCTTTGTCGATAGTACACAAGAATTGGGGCCAAAAAAAGGGGTCAGTGGGCGAAATTGACGATGCAAACATCTTTAGACCCCCAACTTCACAAGAATAATTCCGTAAGTTTTCCACGGGTTTTATACTTTTGGTTCATTAAGTTCGAGAAAGGTTCTCTATATTTCGTAAGAAAAAATCATTTTTTTTTCCCAAAAAATTTTCGACCCTGGAAAAAATTTTTTTTTAGAGGGTCTTGACCCAAAAGGGTTAATATTGTTTATTATGTCATATTAGATGAATTTTGATAGATAAATAAGCCATAGAGTTGATATTAGTGTCATATTGAAGGACTATCTTGTCCTATCTCCAAACAAACTCTGCCACCGCCACAATTCCTAACGTACGTAATGACATACTTTAAATATGATTGTGCGGCTGCAAACTCGCGAATGTTCGAAGCCCGCGAAAGAGGAAAACGCAGATGTTGAAGGGGACCTGTATTACACAGATTTATTTGTCACGTTTTGGTTATTGCACTATTGAAAAATTGATACAATTTTATACAACACTTCATAAAATTAATTTATCACAGTTCCATTTGTGGGCGCGGAAAAAATTTCCCCAGTTCAAACTTCTGCCTTGTTGTGGGTCAGCGGGGGAGACCTACCGCCCTACCCCACCACCCCCGATAGTCCCGCCACCCCCGACACCATCCCCATCCCAGCCTTCGTGAATGTGTGTTCGGCTCCATTGTCTTATGAGCTAGCTGTGTTTGTGAATTGTTTTGATCTTTTAATTGCCATATCTTGTATTTCCTAGGTAGTAGGTTGGTAAACAGCAACCGCCCAGGGAGGTGCTACCGTCCTGCCAAGTGAGTGTACAACGAAAACCTGTAATTGTTTTACATGATGGTAGGATTGCTGGTGTCTTTTGTCTGTCTCATAAACATGCAAGATTTCAGGTAAGTTTTGCTACTTCTACTTGCACTTAGGTCACACTACACATACATGTTCAAGCATATATATACACACCCCTCTGGGTATTCTTCTATTTTCTTTCTAGTTCTTGTTCTTGTTTATTTCCTCTTATCTCCATGGGGAAGTGGAACAGAATTCTTCCTCCGTATTGTAAGAGGCGACTAAAATGCCGGGAGCAAGGGGCTAGTAACCCCTTCTCCCGTATAAATTTCTAAATTTAAAAGAGAAACTTTCGTTTTTCTTTTTGGGCCACCCTGCCTTGGTGGGATACGGCCGGTGTGTTGAAAGAAAGAAGATCTTGTATTTGCTAAGCAATCATGGCACCCAGTAGGCATACAAGTGTTGCTGAAAGTGGCAAGAAATTATAGAAAATTGAGACAATAGACAAGAGATAGCCTATGACCTGAATGAAGTGTCACTTTGTACAATTAAAAAGAATGGGATAAATATACGGGTTTGTGTGGTTGAATGACTTACTGACTTCACTGACTGACTTGGCTGTGTTACTGACTTACTTGATGGGCTGACTTTATTGACTGACTGACTTTATTGACTGACTGACTTTATTGACTGACTGACTTTATTGACTGACTGCATTGACTGGCTGACTTTATTGACTGACTGACTGCATTGACTGGCTGACTTTATTGACTGGCTGACTTTATTGACTGACTGACTGCATTGACTGGCTGACTTTATTGACTGGCTGACTTTATTGACTGACTGACTTTATTGACTGACTGACTTTATTGACTGACTGACTTTATTGACTGACTGACTTTATTGACTGACTGACTTTATTGACTGACTGACTGCATTGACTGGCTGACTTTAATGACTGACTTTATTGACAACCTTACTTTATGGACAGACTTAATTGACTAACTTAATTGGCTGACTTGATTGACTTGACTGACTTGATTGACTTGACTGACTTGATTGACTTGACTGACTTGACTGACTGACGTGACTGACTTGATTGACTGATTGACTGACTGACTGACTTGATTGACTTGATTGACTGATTGACTTGATTGACTGACTTGACTGATTTACTGACTGACTGACTTAAAGTTAGACTTTTTCACTGAAGAGGATCCTGACAACTCTAGAAGCAGTGCTCTAAAATGGTGGTGTAGAGCAGTTGATGCCTTACCATCACCTGTGTTAATGTATTAATTAGAGAATTTATGCACACTCCAGTTCAACCATCGACTTCAGTACCAGAATCTGTACCATCCACCTCAGCCCAGTAGGGCCACAGCATAACTCTCCACTCTCTTCACAATCATCAACCAACATCAGCACCCACCTGGAGTTTACCTGGAGAGAGTTCCGGGGGTCAACGCCCCCGTGGCCCGGTCTGTGACCATGCCTCCTTAGGTCAGTGTCCCAGGATGCGACCCACACCAGTCGACTAACACCCAGGTACCCATTTTACTGATGGGGAACATAGACAACAGGTGGAAAGAAACACGTCCAATGTTTCTACTCTGGCTGGGAATCGAACCCAGGCCCTCACCGTGTGAAGCAAGAGCGTTAACCACCAGGCCACCAGAATTTAAGGTAAGAAATACTATTACTTCTGTTGCATTTGTAGTCTTAAGCCGTAAAAACAACATAATACATCACACCAATGAACCACAATTACATATTCACTTTTATTTTTGTAAGATCTGGAGGTCTAAGAAAAAGCTGCTTGGCATTTTTGGGGCTCCCAGGAACGTTATGCTATTTTTGCCATAAGCTCTGCAGTTTATCTAATACAGTGTTTTTAGGCACATAACTACCATGTAATATAATGGTCTACTGTACATAGATTATCATACATAGCAGCATATGTGTAGATTACCTAGGATAACCCAGAAAAGTCAGACAGTGTCTCTTCCATTGGGGTAAAGCTTATACTACAATACAAACTCATTACGTTGTGTACAAGTTGTCTCCACATTGGTACATTAGAACAAACAAAGAGCAACACTCCCATTCTCATTTAACACACCATTTTTAGAAGGAATGATGCTGTGAGTGAAGGTATACAAAATGAATAATTTTCTACAGTTACTTCCAGTAATACTATTGTGTACATATTTTCTTCAGTGTTGAACTAGAGAAAACATTCTTTCTGACAAGATGACTGGAGAAACATCTCATATTTATGTTAATTTATTCACCTTTCTTGACAGGGATAGCATGGTGAAAAAAAGTAGATTGACCTGCAATAAACAGAAAAAAGAGCCTGTTTCTTGTTCCTATAGATTACCTACTATTTCCTTCTACTACTATTTCTTCACTAATATTCCACTCTCTTCCCTTCCCTTTTCTTTTTTTTTTCCTATCACTACTACCTTATTGTGGCAGCATCATCATCATCCTCATCATTATTGTTATTCTCCATCTCCCCCTCCCTCATATATGTTCTGGCTCCCTTCCCTTGGAGCTGCTCTGTGTGATTAGTTAATGGTCCAAGTGAGGCCCAAATGTTGTTGTAAGTTTCATTCTCCTGTGTGTGGGTTATTTGTGTATTGTTCCAGTCATGGTATTGTATCATTTTATTCTTTCCACAATACTTTATTTAGTACACTATTTAGTTTTTATCTGTATTTATCCATTTGCATTGTTAGGTATCTGTAAAACATGTAAATCATAGTAATATTACTGTTAATTTTCTGATGCTTTTCATTAACTTGACACACGTCATCCTTATATATTTCCAGTTACTCTTGTTGCCTTTGGTGTCCCATAGCTTGATTGCTAGTACACTTAACTCATGCACCGAGGTCTGGGGATCGATCCCCCGGTACGGCTGAAAAACATTAGGGTGTGTTTCCATAAAACACCTCCTGTCCCTGTTCACCCATCTGTAAAATGGGTACTTGGGTGTTAGTCCACTGGTGTGGGTCACATCCTGGTACAAAATTGACCTACTTTGCCCGAAATGCTTTGTGTAACAAGGGGCTTTCTATATACATATATGTAGTAGTATGTCATTGTTATCAGTTAGGCCTGTATACCTTGTACATGTGCTTGTAGAAATGGATATTATTATTATTATTATTATTATTATTATTATTATTATTATTATTATTATTACTACTACTACTACTACTACAAGTTTCTCATAATTTTCCTCCATTATGTAACCATTAAGAAATATAAAATTTTTAAGTAATATTATTTAATACATATAATGCTTTTACAGGAATAAGTATATGATGCTTCAGTCGGAGATGAATTGTATGCAGTCTCGAACACGTGACATGATGGTTTGTCAGGGAGCGGAGGTGTCTGGGGCAGCTGTGGCCCTAGCCAATTTGTCCTCACGTTTACAAACTTTGATTGGGAAGCTTGTACAAGATTACTCTATAACTGATTCTGATATGGAAGTATGTATTATATATAAAAATATTATGGGAATATTAAACTCTCCATCTAATGGACCTCCATGTAACGAACTTCGGAAATCCAAAACATAATCCAATGGGTCATTCAATTCAGAAACAATGGACAAAGTCCACTGGTTACAGAAGTCTGTTTTATGGAGGGTTTACTGACCTTGATAATCCTTGTCAGTGTAATACATAGAAAATTACAGGTGTCCCTCAACATTCGCGAGGGTTAGGGGATCAAGAGCCTCGCGAATGTTGAAAAACCGTGAATGTTTGGTGCCCCAATATATTGTAGGGAAATATAATACAATACTGCTTAACTTGTTGAACCATGAACAATCATAAAATACATATAAACGTCGTAAGTTGTACTAAATATATACATGTTATGCTTTAATAACATGTATGTTATTAAATACCACAGACTCCACCACTGCCTCCACCACTTCCTCAACCAATGCGAGTCCCTACTACCCTCCCTCCAACCCCCGCAACTGGCAGCCAGCCCTCCCACCACTCAGTGTGGCGAGTGTTTTGTTTGTTCATTATTTGCTATTAAACTACAGTATAAATAATGTAAACACATTCATGACTGCATATTGGAATGGCTATTTGAACAGGTATTGGACGGTGACATCATGTGTTTACTCTTGAACACAGCAAAGAATCAAACATTTCTGCTACTGCTAATAATAACAATAGTAATAATAATAATAATAATAATAATAATAATAATACGATATAATTGAAGAAGGAAATTGTTAAAAAAAACGAGGGGGTGGTTGACACATCGTCAGTGTGGCTTTGTTTATGCTGGAGTGAACATTAGTCTCCCTGCTCTTCCAAACATTTCACAATAATTCAGCGGTTGAGGCAGTGATAGAGACAGTGATAGAGGCAGTGATAGAGGCAATGGGTGAGGCAGTGGTATTTACTAACATTATTTTTTTATTATTATCACACTGGCCGATTCCCACCAAGGCAGGGTGGCCTGAACAAGAAAAACTTTCACCATCATTCACTCCATCACTGTCCCTTGCCATAAGGGTGGCTTTACACTACAGATTATAAACTGCAACATTTAACAACCCCACCCCTCCTTCAGAGTGCAGGCACTGTACTTCCCATCTCCAGGACTCAAGTCCGGCCTGCCGGTTTCCCTGAACCCCTTCATAAATGTTACTTTGCTCGCGAGCTGCCAACAGCACGTCAAAGTATTTAAAAACCATTTGCTCCATTCACTCCTATCAAACACGCTCATCACATGCCTGCTGGAAGTCCAAGCCCCTCGCTACAGTACAAAACCTCCTTTATCCCCCTCCCGCCAACCTTTCCTAGGCCGACCCCACCCACTCCTTCCCTCCACTACAACTGATACTCTCTTGAAAGTCATTTTCGGGGGGGGGGGGGGGGGGGGAGCCATTCGCCTCCTACATGTCCGAACCACCATCAACAACCCTTCCTCAGCCTGCTGGACAACAGTTATGGTAATCCGCGCACCTCCTCCTAACTTCCAAACTTACGAATCTCTGCATTATATTCACACCACACCATTGCACCTCAACATGACATCTCACTGCTCCACTTCTCCTCGCGTGCAACATTCATCACCATGCTTCACACCCATAGTAAGAGCGTTGGTAAAACTATATCTCTCATACATTCCCTCTATTGCCTCCAAGACAAAAGTACTTTGTCTCCACAGACTCCTAAGTGCACCACTCACACCTTTTCCCCTCATCAATTCTATGATTCACTTCCATCTTTCATAACCCATCCTCTGACACGTCCACTCCCAAATACTGAATACATTCACCTCCTCCATACTCTCTCCCCCAATCTGATAACCACATCTTCATCACAATCTTTTTGTTATTCCTCATAACCATACACTTTCCTGTCTTCACCTTTGTAATTTTTCTTCTTTTGCACAACCCTACCAATTTCATCCAACCAATCTCTGCAACATCACTCAGAGCAATACACCAAGTGCACAGTGTCATCAGCAAAGAGCAACTGTGACAATTCCCACATTGTGTGTGATTCTTTATCTTTTAGCTCCACTACCCTCTTGCAAGAGACCCTCTGCATTCACTTCTCATACAACACCCATCTATAAATATATAAATCAACCACGGTTACATCACCCATCCTTGTCCTAAGGCCTACTTTTACTGGAGAAATAATTTCCCATCTTTCCTACATACTCTAACTTGAGCCTCACTATCCTCGTAAAAACCTTCACGCTTTCATTAACCTACCTCCTACACCATACACCTGCAACATCTGACCACATTGCCCCCTATCCACCCTGTCATACGCCTTTTCCAATCCATAGAATGCCACAAAGACCTCTTTATTAGCCTTATCTAAATACTGTTCACTTATAGTTTCAACTGTAAAGCACCTGGGCCAACACACCCCCTACCTTTCACTACAGCCTCCTTGTTCATTACTGCCTATCCAATTCACCGTCTACTCTTAATTCTTTCTTTCAATAATAAAGTCTACCATACACTTTAACCAGTATACTCACAGACTTTTTTTTTTTATTTTTTATATCACAACACGGCCGATTCCCACGCAAGCAGGGTGGCCCGAACAAGAAAAACATTCACCCTCATCACTCCATCACTGTCTTGCCAGAAGGGTGCTTTACACTACAGTTTTTAAACTGCAAGCATTAACGCCCCTCCTTCAGAGTGCAAGGCACTGTACTTCCCATCTCCCAGGATCTCAAGTCGGTCTGCAGTTCCCTGAATCCTTCATAAATGTACTTTGCTCACACTCCAACAGCACGTCAGTTAATTAAAAAACCATTTGTCTCCATTCACTCTATCAAACACAGCTCACAGCATGCCTGCTGGAAGACCAAGACCCCTTCGCACGGTCACAAAACCCTCCTTACCCTACCACCAACCCTCCTAGGCCGACCCCTACCACCTCCGCCTTCCTTCCACTACAGACTGATACACTCTTGATGTCATTCTTTTTCGCTTCCATTCTCTCTACATGTCCCATACCACATCAACAACCATTCCTCAGCCCTCTGACAACATTTTGTAAATCCCGCACCTCCTCGCTAACTTCCAAACTACGAATTTCTCTGCATTAATAGTTCACAACCACACATTGCGCCTCAGACATGGACATCTCACTGCCGTCCAACCTTCTCCTCGCTGCAACGATTCATCATCCCACGCTTCACAACTCCATATAGAGAGCGTTGTAAAGACTATACTCTCATACATCCCCTCTTTGCTCCAAGGACAAAGTTCTTTGTCTCCACAGACTCTTAAGTGCAACCATCTCACTCTTTTTTCCCTCATCAATTCTGATGATTCACCTCAACTTTCATAGACCCATCCCTGACACGTCCACATCCCAAATATCTAATATCGTTCACACTCCATCCATACCTCTCTCCCTCCATTCTGATATTCAATCTTACATCACCTAATCCTTTTTTGTTATCATCATAACCTTACACTTTCCTGTATTCACCTTTAATTTTCTTCCTTTGCACACCCTACCAATTCATCCACCAATCTCTGCAACTTCTCTTCAGAATCTCCCAAGATCACAGTGACTTCTACAAATAGGCAGCTGTGACAACTCCCACTTTGTGTGTGATTCTTTATCTTTTAACTCCACCCTCTTGCCAAGACCCTCAGCATTTACTTCTCTTACAACCCCATCTATAATTATATTAAACAACCCACGGTGACATCACACATCCGTTGTTCCAAGTGGTAGGCCTACATTTACTGGAAAAAATTTCCCTCTTTCCTACATACCGAACTTGAGCCTCACTAAACCTCACGTAAAAACTCTTCACTGCTTTCAGTAACCTACCTCCTACACCATACACTTGCATACATCTGCCACATTGCCCGCCCACCCCAACCACCCTGTCATACGCCTTTTCCCAAATCCATAAATGCCACAAAGACCTCTTTAGCCTTATTCTAAATACTGTTCACTTATATTTTTCACTGTAAACACCTGGTCCACACACCCCTACCTTTCCAAAGTAAAAGCCCTCCTTGGTCATGCTGCTATCCATTTCTCCGTCTTACTCATAATTTCTTTCAATTATAACTCTACCATACGACTTTACCAGGTACACTCACAGTACTTATCCCCCCTATAATTTATGCACTCTCCTTTTATCCACCTTTGCCATCATCCAAAGGGAACTATGCTTGCTCTCTGCCAATCCCTAGGTACCTTACCCTCTTCATACATTTATTAAATAATTGCACCAACCACTTACCAAAACAATAAGTCACCCACCTGCCTTTAACATTCTATCTTTATCCCATCAATCCCGCTGCCTAACGACCCTTTACATTTTAACTACTGCCTCACGAACTTCCCCCACACTCACAACTGGCCTCTTCCTCACTCCTACAAGATGTTATTCCTCCTTGCCCTATACCGAAATCACAGCTTCCTATCTTCAATCAACATTTAAGCAATTCCTCAAAATATTCCTTCCATCTTCCATACCTCTAACTCTCCAATTAATAACTCTCCTCTCTCTATTTTTTAATCTGACAAATCCATTTGTTCTCTAGGCTTCTTAACTTGATAACTCACTCCAAACTTATTCTTATTTTCACAAACAAATTTTGTTGATAACATCTCACCCAACTCCTACTACTCATTTGCTCTCTTTTTAACCATTGCTTCACCACTCTCTTAACATCTCTCTTTTTCTCCTATACTCTTCCCTCCTGCCTCACTTCTACTTTGTAAAAACTTCTCATATGCTAACTTTTTTCTCCCTTACTACTCTCTTTACATCATCATTCCACCAATCGCTACTCTCTTCCTCCTGCACCCACTTTCTGTAAACCACAAACTTCTGCAGACACTCTAACACTACATTTTTTAAACCTACCACATTACCATTCCTTCGACCCATTGCCTAATGCTCTCATTAGCCCATCTATCCTCCAAAAGCTGTTTATATCTACCCTAACTGCTCTCCT